CACGAAGTCGATATTATTCTGCATGCAGTTAAACCGATTGCATGCAGAAACACTGACTGCATGCAGTACACTGACTTCATGCAATTATTGTCACTCGCCTATTTCAGGAGCTCTCACGACAATACCCATTAACTGCAGACGTGCAGTCCATGTGTTGGCTGCCTAAGAGGCAAGTCTTACTTATGCATGGGCAGTGGCATATTCATTGAACTCCCAGAAATTATTTAATACATAACTTTTATGCTCATATGAGTCACGCCTTGTCCCTGCCAAGTGTTTATAGGTAAAAGTAGCAGCATCAAGGTATCAATAATTACATGTTCATCTAAGAAAAGACATTATGCGATATGACCGCAAGTAATTCGAGCGTCACTCGCCACGGCCGTAGATGGCTCGACCACACGTGTGCTGCGTCTCCGCTGTCGACCACGATGATTCCATTTCAACACTGACTTCGACCGTATTTCACACACGAATGAATAGCTTGTAGTATGTAATGTAATGAGGATCACAGCGCACATTATGGATATAGCACGATATAAAAATTCTTTAATATATTTTTAAGGTACAGAACAATAAACGAAAATCATATTTCGCCCTGTAACAAAGTTCTTTACAAAAATGTGCTGTACCTGTTGTTAATGTTTCACTTTTATTGTAATCTTTGCTGGTAAGTATCTTGAGTACAATGAATTGTTTAAATAAAAGTTAAAATAAATATTCTTGTGTTGGATCCAAAATTAACTAGCTAATATTTTAATGGGATTATATTATTTTACAACGTTTGATTCGTAACGTCGATCTACGTTTATTTAAAAAAAAATCGGATTTGCGTGTGTTTGTACAATGATAAAAACACATTACATAAACCTTTTTTATTTAAAAAACCATAGTTAAAAGGTTGTGGAATTACACTTATTTGTCAAGTTTTATTGACATTAGTTAACGAAAAGTCAGTGACATCCAATAAACCGGATTCACCTCTAATTTGTCTCCCTCAGAGATGAAACATTTTCTTCACTTCTAAATGGTACCACTACTAACGTACCTAGTCCCTTTCCAATAAAAAAGAACCATCGAAATCAGTTCACAAATGTCGGAGTAATCGCGTAACATACATAAAAATATGCATACGATTCTCCGAGAACCTCCTCCTTCTTTGTAAGTTGGTTAAAAAGTCTTTTTCAACAAGCAAAATGTACAATCGAGAGCAAATCAAGCTTTACACTTTGAACTTTGGATTGTACTTGTCACAAGCGGCAAAGAATTGCACTTAAATTTAATTAAAAGAAACTAAAACTATAAAGCTTGACGGTACTGTTGACCCTGTACAAATAGTTAATGCAAGCTTAGTAAGCTTGCTTACATTATCAGTTTTCGCTTCTTGCCCGTGGACCGCCTGCCTGTTTCACCAGGGTGAACCACAGGCAATTATTTCTTCACTGGTTCACCTTGTTCGAATTTACAGTGATATTTGTCGCTACCGGTCGCCCAAAATATTTATTTATTAACTATTAAGTACTTCTTCTCGTCACCGCCAGAGACGTTGTAGAATTTGCCACACAAAATTTTCTAATATTTTACGCAGTCTCTAACAACAAATGTAACTGTAATCCCGAGATAGAGGCACCAATCTCTTAATTATAAAGAACAATAATCTTGTCAAGTTTGTGTAGGTACTGAAAAATGTGTTCCTATTTACGTACCTACCAATATGAGTTAAAACCACTTAAGGGTAGTTCAATGGTATGTAGAAATATAAGCCGCAGAAAGGCAATAATGTTAAATCCGTTTTATTTCTAAAGCGTTAGCGCAACACGAGCTCTCGGAATGGAGGCCGGTGCAGTCGCGGTTGCCGCAGGAAACCGCAAACTATCCACCTAAATAACTTACAATACACTCCAGCGCACAGTCCGACGTTTTTGTTTTATATTATAGTCGATATCCAGTATCATAACCAAAATTGATGCTGGTAATGATTACTAGAATACGCAAAGCTTATTTTGTTATTGGCGGGTCCACATAAGGCTTTCTTTAGGAAATATCAAAATGTAATTAATAACAATGTTCTGAAATAGTAGTTTCCATTTAGTTATTATTCCCTAAGGTTCCATGTAGTTATTCACATAAAAATTAGGAGCGCGACACACGGAGCTACTATATAGACAACTACAATTTTTTCACAGCTATGACAATAATGTTATGTTTTTGTCGTTTCTGTTTAATCGGTATTTGTCTTATATCAGTCAATAAAGTGTTTATCCATCTATCTATCTGTCCATCCATCCGTCCATCCATCAAGGCCTCACGTGACAATGACGCAGCAGATAAACTGGCCAAAAGGGTCGGGGACGGGCGCTAAAACTAAGGTAGAAAAACTTCTCTGGACAATCCTTAAAAGTGGATTCATAACGCACAAATTCTGGCAATTTATTGCCGCAATTTATCGTGTTGCGGGACATGACCGTCAGTTGACGTTGGTTATGTGGGACTCTCCTCTCTATATCTTTATAAAATATATTAAATTATTTGTGGACGTGTCCTCCATTGAAGATGCATTCTGTGTTTAAAAACGCACTAGAGCATGTTAAAAGGGATTCAAGTCTTTTGGCCTACATCTTGTTCTTTTTTCAAATAGGATATGATATTTAAATTTGTTGTGGTACTCACAGTGCAAGGAATTTCCTAATTTGATATCACGTAGTTGGCGTGGTTGTCTGGCACTAGTATTATTATTGTTATATTTTGTTATTTAAAGTGTCTTATTGCATTTATTTCTGTTATCGATTTGCATGCATTTGCGCTTACCTACATAAAAAAAAATATTAAAGGAGATGCGAACAAGAGCTCAAGAGAACAGGCTCATTAGTAAGAATTCAAACCCCTTACACAATTTCTTGCCTTATAATACTTTTAAACAAGGTAGGTATAAAAATAAGAGACTACTTAAAATTCATAGAAAGGGTTTTGTTATATTAAAAGTATTATTGAGTGATATTAAAACAATTGTTGATATTTATCGCCATCTATGACCAGTAAACAGAATTAAACTTATCATTAAGCTTGACTCACACTGAACGCTTGCACCTGACGTTATAAATAAATAAGTATGTTTGTAATACTTTGTAATTTAAAACACAATCAAGAATTGGATGATAGAGAAATAATAGAAATATGTGGAGTGCAAATTAATAATACAAGAAAAGCGTTTTTTTCGGTTTCGCTATACAGCGAAATCTATTATCTGATTCTGGTTTAGGAGTTAGTTCATTGGGAACTGAACTAAGGCATCACTATACAATAAACATGGCAACATTGTTTTGCAAAGTGACATTAAAGTGCGCAGTGCGTTTAAGTATCTGTCAATCTCTTATTTGGTACTGTCAGCTTGTCACTATTAATTAAAAATCCTGCTGTTTAGAATATGTTCAATTTCTTTTGCAGGCTTCATTACAACGTTAAATAGTCACTTTATACTTATTGATCATTATTGTTAACACTTTGTGTTTTACATCCAAAATGGCACACACGACATGTTGCTAGAGGGCCCAACATATTCGCCATGTAAATTATATTAAACCGGTAACCGGTAAACCGATTTTTTATTTAGGTGCGCACTATATAAAGTTTGACATTCAGGGTCGTATTCCAGAACTCTCACTCAATGCTTAAGTCAGGGCTTGAGTATGATTTCAAGCACTGGAAATCATACTCAAGTCCTTGCCATTAGGGTCGTATTTCCAGTGCTTGAAATCATTTCAAGCACTCGGAGTCGTATTCCAGAACTCTACTCAATGCTCAAGTCAGGACTTGAGTATGATTCAAAACACTAGAAATCCGCAGGATTTGAGTATGGTTTAAAGCACTCGAAATCATACTCAAGTCCCTGCCATTAGGGTCGTATTTCCAGTGCTTGTGTTTCAATTGCAATCCTGACTTGAGCATTGAGTACAGTTCTAGAATACGACCCTAAATGTTCTATTGAAATGGCGGGCTTTTGAAGTTACAAGTACAGCTTTTACAAAGATTATTTTTATTTTAAGTATATTACGAAGAAAGAAATAGTGAAAAGAAAGTTAGAACTATATTTCTTATTTTAAACCAAATTACAAGTCTTCGTCCTAAAAATTCCAATAATTACGAATCCAAACTTTTTGTTTGTGATTTAAGTGAAAGTGAAAACATAAATATTGACTCCCGCCGCATAAGACTATTTAAAAAATCCAAATAAGTGAACTAAGTTATTTAGAAAGTGAAAACATAATGCATTAGAACACAATGGAAAATCTTCCTGAGGATCCCGATAATTAAACTAAGACATGGCTCAAGGACTTATATCCAAGCCAAAACTCTTAATGAAAACAAATGTTCTATTTGACAACTGGAACAGCTGATTGGCTCAACTCATTCTTTATTTTTTATTACAATTTAGGAAAATTTTAGAAAATATATAACTTTAAAATCATTATGGACAGTAACAAGTATACTGTGCCTAATTTACCAGTTATGCAACATATTTTAGAAGACCTTTCAGACTCTGCAATAATTCGTCCAAATCAGCCACTGAACATACCAGCTGAAGAGGAAATTATACGAAATGCGTACGAAAGTTTTGTGAACTGCAAGCAATTAGAAGAAGATCTCTCAAAATACAGCGAACTGAGTTCGAAATTGGAAGAATTGAATATGAAGTTGGTGGAGAACATCGAATGTATGAGGGCGCATGCCAAGTGACTCGAATGATTAACATTTTAAGTCGTGGTTACAATCACCCACAACTAGTGATATGTAATAAGCTTATGTGTTGGACTTTTATTCTTTGTTAGTGATAGATAACAAATGGCAAGAATTGATTTATATGCATTTCTTTCTATTCAGTCATTCCATTCAAGTGATGTGTTTAGTACTTATTTATTTCATAAATTCACAACATTGTAATTTATATATATAAAATATTTTTAATACTTGAATAAATATAAGTCATTTGATGAACATTTCTTTTATTTCATAATACTACCAACTTTTTTTAATTCATCTTCAGTTGTCAATCCTAAATGGAATAAGCATACTAATGCTGCACCTTGCTCAGCAAACTTTTTATTTTTCTCCCAAAAAGATGATGTGTACTTCTTCCCATTAAATGTCAGTATTGTTCTAAATAATTTTTCAACTTGTTGAGTATCATATGTTGGCAGCTTGTGGCCATTTTTCCCAGCCCATTCGTGAAGCCTTACTTTTGGTAAGTTCAAATCATTAAAATTGGCACGAATGAAGCATACCTGTACAAAAAAAAACATATTGTTAAGAAACAATAACAAATGAGCAAAAATAATAAATCTTTTATATTATTGTGGTGAACATTGACTTACAGATAAATGGATGACGGGTCTAATACAAAAATTACAAAAAAATGTCCCAAGTCAACCTATTTAAACGTTGAATTTAAATTGTAATGTCATCGCAGTACTGTCTAATTTTGCTTGGTTCGCTGTCAGTCAAACAAACGAAGACTAGAGCGTGAATGACGCTCTGTATACGATTTTAACGCCCTATAAGTTCAGACACTTTTTAGCGCGGACCCGACGTCCATATAATAATGTAAGTCAATGGCGGTGAAAGTAAAATTGGATTTACTGTCAGTGTCAATGGCTCTACAATGTAGTCATGTACACAAGATACCTGACCCCCCAAGCCGCTTTGTCGACCTTTTGGTTCTGAGCACAAAAATGTGGAGAAAATTGATAAACAAACTTAATCTTTAACCTGTGAGCCGTAAAAATTATTTTGGTATGACTCCCTGGTCGGCTCATTAGTGAATGACATTGTAAGAAAGTTTTTAAGTGAATTTCATCTTTAACATGTGGTTCTTACTTAAATACAGAACACAAATTTCAACCAGCTTTAGTAACGCCGTCATGGCCAAAAGGTATAAGGATTGCTTTGCAATTTGAGGCAAGCATGGTTTGAGTAGTCACTTTAAAAATAAAATATTGTTTAGCTATGACTATAATATTGTTTTTTGTTTTTAATGTGTGGATAGATGCAAGGAATGTCTAAGTCTTGTTCATACAGAACAATAATTTCTAATTTTAATAATTCCGTTAAGTGCTGCATATTAAAACAAGAAAGAAAACTTTGACACTAAACTAAAAAAAAATCACAAAAACCTTGAAAGTAATTAAAACCGAATAGACAAATAGGAACAAAACGTGGCACAATGCGTAATCACACAGAAGTCATGATCGTATGCAAACTGCAGAGCGAATTCGTGATTTGTTAATCTATCCATACCTACCCTACGCTTTATTAATAATATGTATCCACCCACCTTAGGCAACTTCTAGTGATCAAATATTGTGATTTGTCAACATTAACATTAAAAAGTGAAACAATGCTGTTAAAAATATGTTTTAAAGAAGTGTTGATTATCTTCAAGCAACATTCCACTGTATAGCTTACACAATAAAGTTGAAATTGCTTTAATTTTTTCTTTGTTTCTATATGTAAGATGGCTCTCAGAACCAAAAGGTCAGTTTGGGCATGTTAGGGGGTCAGGTATCTTATGTATATGACTGTAAACGTAACTTCTAATCCAATAAAGCCAATTCAAGTTGCTGTCTCACTTTAGGTATATACCAAGAAAGTATGACGTAATTATTAATGTACTTGATGAAACCCACTTTCATCTGAGTAATTCCCTCTACTTCAATTTGATCCATGACTTTGCTTTTCTTGTGAGGAGGCTCTAATTCATCTGGAGTAACTTGCCATCTCCCCTGTATGCCCATTTTCTGGTACTGTGACTGTTTCTCTTGACAATATTCTCCTAGGTCCCAGATTGCACTGTAAGTAACACAACCAATTTCTTTTTAGAAATAAATAAATATTATACAACATCAACATCACATATATTGCACTGATCCCAAAGTAAGTAACTAAAGCACTTATGTTATGGAAATTGGAAACAACTTTGGTACCACAAATACCCAGACTCGAGACAATATAAGAAAAGTTAGTTTCTGCATTGATCTTGGAGATCAAACTCTTAACCACAGAGATGGCGACACCATCGAAACCGGTGTGCAAGGTACGCAACAATGGAGGCCATCTAGATGCAATTTATTAAATGTTACAGTCCAGTGTCTAGTATAAAACATGTAAATTATATTAAAAACAAGTTTACCATATTTGTTCTAATGTTTGACATTCCAGGAACTGCTTTCCTCTTGGAGTTTCCTGTAGTTCCCTTAAAATATTTTGTACACAGTACTTTGTATTAGAAGGGGAGTTGTCATAATCAACTGCTAATTTGAGATAGTCCTTTATAACTGTGTCTATTGGTAAAAGACCTTCTTTCCTGAATATGGAGCAGTTCCATTCAGCTGCCCTTGCAAGCATCACACTTGTGCATCCAGTCAACTCTTTAAATTTGTAGATATCGCCATGTTTCTCTATTTCTTTAGAACCACCACTGAAAACAGAAAAAAATTCATAAGTTTTTTATCAAATAGTTCTTACTTTAAATCTAATGTTTTGAGTGGTTACCAATTTTTCAGTTTTAAATTTACAATAAAATAAATTATATATAAATAAATAAGTTATTACAAAACTTGAAATACTTACTTGGCAATTACTGGTATAGATACATTCTCTGCAACATAACGAATTATATCAGTATGTACTGCATGCTGTGGCCTCTCATCTCGTGTCCTGCCATGTATTGATATGGCTTTAATTCCTGAACTCACCAACAACTCCACAAGTTTTAGGGTATTTTCCTGAGTTTCAAATATTCTTATCTTGCAGGTCACGGGTATTGACAGGTTATTTACTAAGGTCTTCAATATGCTCAATGCCCTTTCTGGATTAGCCATGAGGGCTACTCCCATTCCTCCCTTAATGGAGAACTCCTTTGGGCATCCCATATTTATATCAATTGCTGCAACATCATTTTCACTGTAAAGAACAATTACAATACAACCAATTTTAAGGTATTGAAATAAATTATTATTTAAAAATAAATAGACCAATATCTCCAGTAAAACAGCACACAATTTGCTTTGTTAAATAAATAATTTTCATGTGTTAGTGTCCGTGTTTTTTGAAGAAATTTCTTTTATTTCATTTTTTATTCATATTTTTAGTCTCAAACCTTATATTATTTATGAGTTTAATAGCTTCCCAAAAATATAACATCAGTGAAGTCTACAAAATCTGTTTAGCAGCTTTCCTCCTTCTTCTGTAAAATGTTATGGCTGTGAGAAAATCATACACATACCCAGATGCAACAGAAACACAAACCACTAATTATTTTTAATTAAAAAAAAATAAATTTATAAGAATCTTACACAAGTTTAGCAACTTTTAAAGCTCTTTCAGCATCGCATGTGCCAAGTTGCAACACTACTTTGTCTTTTTCTGTGTCACAGGTTCGGAAAACTATTGTACCATCTGTTTGATCGACGTAATCCACCGTTTTTAAAATATCTGAAATAATGATGTTTTTTTATCACAACACAAATGAATGAAATCTAGTAAAAAAACGGAACTTTTTATAATTTTCATTTTTATAATTATATTTTTTATAATTTACGTCATTGCTAGGAGCACATTAATTAATACTAACCATTATTTCTTCGCTTTGAACGAAGGAATTTCCAATCTATTAATTCCTCAGTGTAAACCAAATCGGCCCCATACTTAAGGGCCAGAAGACGCATTGGCAAAGTTCCAACACGCACCATAGGTGCAAGTATTAATTTGTTCTCGTAGGAAATCATAGCTATTGTATTTTACTTAAACATAAATACGAACATAACCCTTAATTCCAACATTCAACATGACATTTGAAGCCGGAGGTGTTCCACGGGAGCCAATAATGTACGACCACCATAATAACATTACAACCCGAAAATGCTCGGCCAATAATTCAAGTCCATGTACGTACACGGATTATTGGGTAGGTGATGATTCCTGCCCGAAAATTTGCGAAATGAACTGATAACACACGACCAAATAACTACCGACCTAATTCTCCCAGCCCAATAACAGACAGCCAATAATGGAAACCAAAATGTATTTGCATTATCGGGTCGGTAATTCTTGGATCAGTGATTCTTGGTTGAATGTTAATGGATCGGATCAGTAACATGCGACCATAGTTTTGGGCTCCAAAATGGATTATTGGGTCGGCAAAAAGGTATATTCTACTATTTAGTGGGGATCTTAGCATTTTATTAAATTTTATTCCACAAATCCCCAGTAACGTAATACTTGCTACGGAGTGGGGTTTTGTGAAATAAAATCCCCAGTAAGATATTAATTTATATAATTTAATACTTTTTTAGATGACAGATTTGTGGTTAGCATAAAATGCCTATTTTGATTTCAGCACTAATGTCGCGTCAATATTACGACACATAGGTCAATATAGAGTTTTACCTTAAATTTAAATTGGAGTTTTGAACTTCCTTTAAAATATTGAATTATTCTTATTTAAGAGTAGCATTTGTACACTCAAACATTTTTTTTTATACTCAAAGAAAAGTTAACTTTAGTTCTATTACAAGGATATTCAAAATGTCTTGTAGTCTATTTATCATAAAATATTGCTGTGATATAACATGAAACGTGTGTTTCGGTTTCAAAATAACACGAGGAAAACGGGTTTTTACTTATTGTGCGCTAATATTTGTATAGAACAAATTTAACGCGAAATCACAATTGGCTGTGTTACGATTGGCTAACATTTTTGGCCTGCCGCTCGTAATTGGTTGATTTTTTTATAACTCTTGCATCCCTTGCGGCTACCTGGAGTGCTAATATTGTTTCTTAATTTAGTCACTTTCTACAATTGTGAACTGTGCTTCTACTTACATTTAAATAATTAATATGAACAAATTTTTGTTGACTTGTTGTTTTTACTTATTATTTACAAGTTTTAATGTCGTGTTTTAGTTCTATAAGTATTCTAGTTGTTAATCTAAATACGTATTTTTTTAAGAAACAGTCTGATTGAAGTTCTTTAAGTCAATAGCCGTTTATTAACTTTGTAAAATTGCGAACAATGCTTCTACAAAAAGATTATTGGCTATTTTATGTTCCCGTATGCAAGCATATAAAAATCATTTACAATTTAAACAGAACTATGTTTTTATTATATTATGAACAAAAGACTACAAAAACAGGTACCCTTGTAGTAGAACTTATAATAACTTTTATAAACTGTAATAAATATACTTGTGGAAGAACCTGGTCACCTTCTTTACGCGTTCAAGGGCAAAAAACATGTTTGACTCCATTTTCAATTTAAGGAAAACACAACAGGAGCAGCCTGTATAAAATAATATCTTAGTGGGGATTTTTATTCCACAAATCCCCACTGCATAGCAAGTACCACGTGAGTGGAGATTTGTGGAATAAAATTTAATAAAATGTTAAGATTGAATGATAAGAAGGGGATTTTTTTTAGTGGGGATTTGTGGAATATACCGACAAAAATTGTCTATTTTCGCCTTAGAGCATGGAAAAGTTTTCTATCCTCTAAGGAAAAGAGTGATTTTCCCAGCTGTGATTTTTGCGCGGCGTGGTCGAAAGTCGTAGTATAAGTTGCCAAAATAGAGATGTAATATTTTTTGTAGTCAAGTATACCAAAATGTTCACCTGGAGCCACTAAAACAAAATTCCTACATCGACGTTATAGTATATTTATAACTTTTTTTAGTACTGATTTCTAATTTTGGTGACGCGTCTACAACCTGTGTCTGAAACTTTTTTTAATAATATTTATTGCACAAGAAAAAAGCACAGAATACATTGAATAAAAGGAAAACACAAACAAAAGGTACTGCTTATTTCTATACGAAATTACTTCCTGCAAACCTAAATACAGGACAAAATACCTAATTGTAAAATCGGGCTTACGTGCAAAAATCTAATATTATGTAAAACAATATTAAACTATTATAAACTAGATAAATACTCAGATAAATACATATTTTAAAATGTAAGACCTATAAACTAGATGGAATAGTAGATAAATAATGCTCCTTAACTCTCAATTTAAAAGTAGCAAATGATGTACTTTCGTGTACAGAAATGGGAACTGCATTCCAAAGTCTGACTGCATGAACAGTGAAGGAGTGAGAATAAAAACCGGAATTGAAGGAAGGAAAAGATAACTGGGACCTAACGAGAGAGCGACAGGGTTTATCCTGAGATCTGAGGAAGCTGAAACGCTCTTTCAGATATACGGGAGATGAAGGGTTATGTTTGTTATATTGTAGAGAACAGAAATAATACGCAAATTCCTGCAAAGACGAATGGGAAGCCACTTGAGTTGATTGCGATAGTGTGAGATTCGGTCAAATTTACGTATGCCAAAGATAAACCTGATACATAAATTTTGCAACCGTTCAAGTTTATTTAGCAACTCTTCTGTAGCATCCAAATAGCAGAAATCAGCATAGCTTAAAAAGGGTAAAATAAGAAATTGGGCTAAATAGATCTTAGATTTAAAATGTAAAAAATTTTGGAGACGCTTAAGCGAGTGTAAGGAGAAATGGACTTTTCGACTGACTTCATTCATATGAGGTGACAAAGTCAAATTGCAATCTCAAAGTAAATCAAGATTAGTTGCAGTGGGTGCATAAGCTATAGGCATGAAGTTATACTTTATAAGTGGAATAGAATTTATATCCAATGTGCCACGCATATGCCCACTTCCCACAATCATAGCCTGCGACTTTTTGGGATTCACCACCAAGCCAAAGGACTCAGCCCAATGGGCGATACTTCGTAAGTCAGCGTTAAGCGCTTCAACGGCTATAACAATATCAGATGCCTTAAAGCTACGTAGAGCTGCAAATCGTCAGCATAGAGATGAAAGTTAGAGGACGAAACAGAAGTGACAGAATTAATAAAAATAGAAATAAAAGAGGAGAACGAACGCCACCCTGAGGAACGCCCACAGCTAAGTCACACCAATCAGATGCAGCCTCATCAGAGCGAACACATCGCAGTCGGCCTCTAAGGTAGGAATCAAACCAAGCCGTAACCGAAAGAGAAATATTGAAGGAACGAAAAGTCTCACGTCATAGTCAACAGAGTTGAATTCACTGCTGAAGTCCAGAAGAATAAGCAAACTTGTTTTCATGATTGAAAAAAAATCGAACCATATTTTGAAAAAATACTAGCACACCCGTATTCTCAGTGAATATAATGTCTGTAATTAAATAAATGATTAATTAAATGGTCGAATATCAAGTAATATCGTACCAAGAACAATCGTCCGCGGGAGGAGCCTAATTTTGGTGAATAATTTTAAATTCTCACTAGCAAATTCTGTAAGCTTTGGAGAACTTTCCGATCACTACCTCCCGCCCCCTCCAGAGTCGCGCTAATGCGCGATGTGATTGTGCGGAGGTCATGCGGAGATCGGATTGTGTGGGTTGTGCGGAGATCGTGCTTCTGTACCCGCCAAAAAGGTAAGTACTAATACTTGGTGACATGGGGCCAAAATTGAACAATTTTTGTGATCATTTTACCGAGGAAACAAATAAGATTTCTTGTTTTATTATTTAATTAAGGTTTATGCATTTGAATGTTCGTTTTGGGAACCTTTGATATGCTATAGTTAATGTTTCCTTAACTTAAATAGTGCGTTGTTTAAAATAACTTTTTGCTCTATTTCCAGTTTTGGTGGCACAGTTTTGATGATTTTGGTGATTCTGTGTTCACCAAAATTGTATCTTATCACCAAAATTAGAAAGTAAGTAGTTTTTGCTGTCATAATAAGATTGTTGTTGGCTACAAATCAATAATGTTGGAAAACAATTTAAAGTTCATTTAATTAATAAATTTTCTTAATTAAAAATATTTTTACTCACACAGAAAATTTACGATCACGCATGATAACGACTCTTTTTTTATACAAAATGCAAGTTGCGCATTTGACCGTCATTTCACCTGGTGGACAGTGATAATTATTGCCTATTCACTCTCGTCTTGAAAAGGCCCAAGGTATAGCATTCAGGAAATAAGTCTACAGGCAGTTAATTCCACTCCATAGCCGTTTGCCATATAAATGTGGAAGCGTAACTCTTCATGCGAATCTTTGGCATATCCACAACATAGGGGTGGAAGCCAAGCCTACGTCTAGTCCCCCGGTGAAGGGGAAGGCGAAATTAAATCGTGTAATTCCAGTGCATACTCTCCATGGTATATCCTGTAGAATATCGATAAGCAGAAGAGTTTACGGCAATGTTCAAGGCTCTGAGCTTCGCATCTACTAATTTCGTGTTGCCTGTAAACCTCTTGGCACGCTTGTCGATTGAATCCAACGTGACCAGTTGGTATGTAGCAGAGCCATCACATAGGTGGCAGCAGTACTCCACTCCAAATGCACCTGGAATTAACATATCATTGATATGCAGCAGAAAGAGAGTTGTAGACAGTATGGAACTCTAAGGAACTCTGGCATTAATCACCCGATGTTCGGAAAAGTAGTTCTAAGTAGTTGTAGTAGTAGTAGTCGTTCTAAGAATACTCGAATAGGACATTTCGTGAAGAAATCCGAGATCCAATTGTAAAGGTCAGTGGGAGGCCCAAAAGAGGACTTCGCCTTGCTTTTCTATAGCCTCGCTCCATATGTCACAGGCATACACAAGATCCTCAGTAGGTCGCCCCCGCCCGAATCCGTTTTGGCAATCACTAAGGAGGTCGTTGTCGTCAAGGCGTGACAGGAGACGGTTGTGGAGTACAAGTTCCATAGTCTTGCATACAATGGAAGTGACTGATATAGTTCTATACTTGACAGAGTCAGCTCTGCTTTCTTTTATCGGCACAGGTTGCATGTTTGCAAGCTTCCGCGACCTGGGAGCTACATCAGTCTGTAGTGAGAGGCGATGTAGTCGTGTGAGAACAGGAGACAACTCAGGCGCACAATTACGTAGCACTATTGCTGGAATTCCATCTGGCCCACGTCTTGACTGCGCAGAGATCTAAGTACCTCTTTTTGGCGTATGCAAACTAATGCCATAGTGCAGCCAGCCTGAGGTAAGGTAGATGGTAGGTTCCTTGCGGCATCCAGATGCGAACTCTCTGCAAAAAGTGAGGCAAATAGATTCGTCTTCTTTTCCATAGTATAGGTCAGCGAGCCGTCCGGCTTCAGCAGAAGTGGTAAAGATAGGCGACAAAAGTTAGTTTCGACCGCTTTGACTAGGGACCAAAAGGATTTGCTACCTGCTGGATAAGAGGCAACCTTGGCTCTTATGCAGCGTATATGGTCGAAATTGGCCCTACGATATGGTCGAAATTGGCCCTACGTAACACGTTTTTGTACTTCTTGGCGGCCTTATTAAAAAGATTCTTCAGAATCCGAGTGCTTGGAGCTCTGCGTAGCCGAACGTCTGCCAAGCTTGGTACGCGGACTGTTTTTGTGCATCAGCACGACTACAGTCAGCGCTAAACCATGGCCGAGCTTGAGGACCATTGGGTACCTCAAAGTATGGAATGTAATACTCCATACCCAAACACAAAACTTCGACTACAGCATCAGCGCAGCTCGACTGGTCTCCTGAAGAAAAGCAAGTCTTCCAGGGATATGAAGCAAAGAAATGGCGCATTTCGTCCCAATCTGCCAACCTGTATCACACCCATCTTATACCACTAGGGTTCTGATCGGTATACGGCTACAGTTTTCACCAGACAATGGTCGGAAGTACCCAGTGGGGCATCCTTCTCACAGAGTATCGCTCTAGCTCGGTTGTTAGCAGAAGGTCCAAGCAATTAGCCGTATGAAACTCAACACCTAAGGTCCTGGTCTGGTATACATGGCTACCTATTAAATATTTTTTCTGATTTAATTTGTGTTTTTTTCTCCAGTGTACTAATTTTGGTGACAATGTTCAAGTTTGGTGATCAAACAAAATTTCATTTCCATATATCTTTAAAACTACTTGACATTTTGAAGGGCTGGTAAAATATTCTTTTTGGAATTAATTTATAATATAATACCTACCCATAATATTTGCTTAAAACACAAAATTAAAAATTGTCACCAAAATTAGGTGAAAAACCGTACCTGTTGAAAATGCCTGAAAAAATTTTCGCTCAGTAACAAGAACATACCATGGTGTCATAACTTGCAATAGACAAATGTCGTTCGATTAGAGTCGGGTCTTGGAAAAATTTCCATTTTTTTTCAAGTCACATTTTTCACAAAAATAAACCTATAATTTTCCACATCCGACGTTGACATCTGTCAAAAACATTGTAGTTACTAAACGAAAATGATGGGCCAACAACAAGTAGTGGTGGCGTGGTTGTTGGTGGTTTTTACGCCGTTGTGAAATGACTTTTTTGTTTTAGCTATACAAGTTTATTTTATAATTCATGCTAAATAAAACTTCAAAAGATATTTTGAACGTAGGACATAATATGAATCATCCAAATTATATTGTTCCAATTTTTCGGGAATTTTGCCAGAAAAATTTCCACTATTTGAAATTTTTCGGATAATTACCCAACAGCATGTTCGACAAACATTTCAATCAGAATTGAACAAACAAATAAAGTCACATTCGCGAATACTCGAATAGTGACTGTGTTCCAGAACTCTACTCAATTTAGGGTCGTATTTCCAGTGCTTGAATCATACTCAAGTCCTGATTTGAGCATTGAGTAGAGTTCTGGAATACGACCCTCAATCACGGACTTGTCTATGAATTAGACAAATCTGACAAATTCGTGCCTTCAATATAACATTGTCAATGTCAAAATTTTGATTTGAATGTCGCGTAATAGTATTCTGTGAAGAAATCTAGTATACTTTTTTCCATCCTCTAAGATTATAATCCATATCTTTCTAATTTGTGATTATAATAGCTTCGCTTGAACAAAAACGAATATTTTATGCGTGTTGTATTGTTTGGAGGAAGTTTCCTAGACCTAAATTTTCAGAGGTGTGTTTTTGCAATAAGATGAAACCGACAGTTGCAGCCGATGAAATGTTCCCAGAAGGCGTTGGACCTTATATGGATTTGGAAGAGGTAAACATAAATTTAGCTTTAGTTTTCGCAGTACTAATAAGATAACAATCAAGTTTTTAGCCTCTTATTTCATGTACCTATATTTTAACATTTATTCCTGAAAAAGAAAAAACAAATGAAGTAGACATGCACCTGTGATACATTTATTTAACGTTTTTGTTAAACATAGTGTTAAGAGTGTATAGTCTAGGTTTACTCAGATGAACTTAGATTTCCAAGGCGTTTTAGAAAGTCGGAAGTTTTTAGATAATGGCTCATAAAGCTAAAACTGCTTCTTTTGGTTCCCATCAGAAAACCGAGTCTTTCGCCCATCCGTCTATACTATGTTGGGCATTGATGTTTTTTATTGTTATATCTGTCTTGACTATTTTACGACTGCTTTTTAGCTAGTCCTAATTGCACCATCTTGAAAATCACAATAAAAGAAATACCTTTATTGTGCTTTCAGTTGGTATTAAGTACCAATCTCTTTATTTCAGGCTGGTGGACCTTCTAACCTCCTCATGGATTTAGCAGCTAATGAAAAGGCAGTCCATGCAGATTTTTTCAATGGTTTGTAAATAAAGTACATTGTCAGGTATTTCCAAGTTTTTTATATGATATGTTAAATTGAAAGACAGTTATAACTTCACTTATCTTCCATATGTTATAAACAAAAGAAATGCTTTGTTTTCAGATTTTGAAGATTTGTTTGATGATGACGACTTAAAGTGAAGATCCAGTTCAACTGGTTTCAGAGTTCAATCAAATTTCTAACACCTGCAGTAGAGTTAATAAATAAATGCTTAATCAAATGTTTTATTTTTTATTTTTAAACATTTCAAATCTAAATTATGAATAGATTTGCTAAAAAATGGACATCAGATAAAAATATCATGGCATTTCCCATTTTATTGTATAATACAAATTTTGTGTTTATTATGCACTGATTGTTGTGCCTGCAACATAAAGCTTATGACTGACAATGATTCTCAAATTTAACCATCTATCAATAATGAACATATTAAATGGAGTTATTCAAAGAGCATTTTGCGAGATCATAATATTCTTAGTGAAAAAGATGAACTTAATGGTTTAAATATTTGTTGGTACATAATTAACAAGCAAGTTTGGAAACTATAAAAATAGTTGGGAATTTCATATTTCTATCAAAATGCACTGATCATGGCCTATACTTAAGAGAAACTAAATTTATCAGTATATGAAATTAATAATAACAATGAACTGTATGATAGAACATTCATACTTCTTTTAATACCAGTGTTGATCATCGCAGGTACTTCAAAATTGATATTTAGCTGTGTGAATGTGCTAACTACAGGTAAGACTATTCTAGTATAAACATTCATCAACAAAGATATTGTACTACATCTCATTGTAGCTAATTCATTTGACAAAAACAATCAAGGGTGCCATGTTAAACTTTACTTATAATAATGCTGAGCCTATCGACATATTACTCAAGCTTAGCATAGCTGTGAAACTTTAACATCTATACTATAATAAAACAGAGGCCGCGCTTGATTGCGCGAATTGCGGTCGCTAGACATCGACGTCACTACTGTCGTCGCTATAGTCGTTGCCCTCTGCATCGTGGTCTTCCTCCCGCTCACCAGCACCTGCCTCTCCTTCTCCAAGATCTTCCTCTAAATGTTCCTCTTCAACAGCTGCTTCATTGATATCTTCTTCCTCATACAATAACATGTCAGTAATTTTAGAAGTTGTGCCTCTACCCATTTCTGAAAAAAGGGACATTTATTACTTTTTCTGCTGCAGCAATTTTGACTTTACATTTTGTACTAGTCACATCTTGAAATGAAACTTAAATAATACTAACGTTCCACATATGATTCCAGTGATTTAGGCACCATACTTTTAGCTCTGTCAATTTCTTCTTCTGAACATTCTCCTTTATCTAATCCTGAAATTAAAAACCAGTAAAGGCCATAGTGCTAATTTTAAGAATAAATCTCAAGAGCTTAAACCATATATGCTTACCAAATAAAAGACCCATTCGTTTCAAAATGTCTATGTCATCATGAATTTGGAAACGCTTGTTGAAATTAAACATGTACTCTGTCCTGTGAAATGCAGATAATGCATTAGGAGGAATCATACTATACATAATTGGGCTAATAAACAAATACACACACACATATGTGTAAACAAATATATATGTAGATATATAATATTATGGTCATTGACTTATAATTGTAAGTCAATGATTATGGTCATTTATTATTTCATAATATAATAGTGTTAAGTTTTTAATCATGCATTTAAATTTTTATCACTGACACACCACGTCTCCCTCTCTGTTCAGTTCTCCTCTGCCCCAAAGGTTGTCTGAATGAGATTGCTCTCAGCGATAAGGCCGCCTTTGCCCACATTAATTTTATGTTGTCTATGTACTGTTTGTTTTTTGTGTGTGAGCAATAAAGTGTATTATCTGTCTACTTAATCTCAAGTTATACTTCGTTTTCTTAACATTAGAAATAAGGTAAACAGAGAAGCTGGGTTTGTAACTATTTTTCTCCAGAAATTTACAAGAATTTAATGATTGTCATTTTTCCAGTTCTACATAAGCAATAAAAAGGGAATTCAATACTACGTACGCGGATTGCACTATTCCCGACGAATTGTGAATAGGCTTGCAGTCATTATTTGATGGGTCTTAGTGGTTGGCAGGATTGGTTACAGTTAATAAACAGCTCTTATAAAAAGGTTATCATAAACCTCTGTAGGCAACATAGTTCATTTTGCCTATTATATAGTACTACAGACCTCTCCTTTTCATTATCTCAAGTATGGATGAATACCCTTATTAATAAAAATTACACTTGTGAAATTATCAATACAAAGATCGAACACTTAGAAAAAATTCCTTCGATCCGGCCGGATTCGAACCGATGTCTTCTAGCAAACCGTGCTAGACGCTATGCCAACTAACCAGCAACTAATAAGCCACGGCGTTCCGTGCCAGCGGACCTCATGAATTTTTCTATGTGCTTGTTTGTCAATCTTTGTTTCTGGTGGTTGGTTGAATTGGTTTTTAACGACTTTTTAGCCGTATCGCCATCTATGAGAAATCTATGAAAGTATTACGTCACCCAGTTAGGCACCTTTACAGCTACCAGCTTTTTTTTTTTACGGGGGACATCTTTATAGATACCCCCGAGCCCAGGGAGACTCGGGGGTTATGCCCCCGCAACTCAAAAACAACTCTCCCTCCAGACTGGAGGGCCTACACACTAAAACCCCCCCGGGTTTACCTCCCGCCGGTTGAGTCGGCGCCGTGGGGTCGGTGCACATTGACCACGACGCCGCCCGGCCGCCCTAGCTTGCGCCAGGGCTCCCGCGCCAACGGAGGGACAGGTCAGTTGTCCTCGGACCCGCTCCCCAGACGAGTGAGGCCGTGCAATGCAGGCTCCGGAGTCCCTGTCCAGAACCCGCTGGCCTCACTAGGGGATCAGGCGAGCAGCGAACTGCCTTCGCCTTCTCCCCGTAAGTTTGCGCCGAAGCGGGTGCGCGTCCGCCGCGTCCTCGTGCACCCGCTCCGCAGCCTCCTTTTGCGACATAACCTCTCCGCAAAAGGAGGCCACCGCCTCCTAGGATTCCTCGCTACCGAGCATGGCGGCAACCACGCTCGGCAGCGAGAGATCCTGCCCTATTATCCCCGTCAGGGTACGGCGCTGCTAATCCCACTGCACACCTCTAGGGTATACACCTACCAGCTATACAGCTACCAGCCCTGGCTAGCGCTGTCGCTATTCACTGTAATTAAGTGTTTTATTAAATGTCATGATGTTTCACCACCCTGATATTATTTTTTTTTTGTGTGTAAAGGCGCCTGCCTAACTGGGTGACGAACTAGTTTCATAGATTTCTCAAAGATGGCGCTACGGCTAAAAGTCGTTAACAACCAGACACAAAGATCCGACAAACAAGCACATAGAAAAATACGTGAGGTCCGCTGGTTCGTTCCGTGGCTTAATTGGCATAGCGTCTGCCACGTTTTGCTAGAAGATGTCGGTTCGAAGGAATTTTTTCTAAGCGTTCGATTTTTGTATTAATAATTATAATAAACCAGTGGAGTAATTTCACAAACAAAAAAAATTTAATATCGTAGTGGTGAAACATCCTGACATTCAATAAAACACTTAATCACACTTGTGAAATTACTAACTTTGACATTACAAAGTAGTTTAGGCTTGTAAAAATACTGAAAGTCAAATAATCAAACCCAAATTACTAACCATAGTTGTTTTTTTAACCGACTTTAAAAAAAAGAGGAGGTTCACAATTCGTCTGTATGTTTTTGTTTTTTTTTTTGTTTGTATGTTTACGCGATAACTCCGCCATTTGTGAACCAATTTTGATGATAATTTTTTTGTTGCAAAGATACCTCAGATGTGGTCCCATTTAAATTTCAAGAAAATATTCTACCTCTAAAGGTGGAAAACTAGGGGATGAATAATTTTTGAGATTGGCTTTTTAACCGGAGGTTAGGTTATTACAAAACATTTTGACTTTTTTGCAATAAAGAATTGAATTGACTTTGCAACCCATTAAGGCCAGCAAGGATTTGACTGTCTTCAACACACTTCATCAAGTGAAAGTTAATATAAAGCCCTATTACCAGTAAAGTTGAAGAGAAAATTATAAAAACACAGCGACTCAAAAGAATAACAGAGACACAATAATTATATAAGGTAATACAACCATTGACCTACCAATAAATGGACGTCGGGTTCGCGCTAAAAAGTGTCCGCACCTGTAGGGCGTTAAAATCGCAAACAGAGCGTCAATCGCGCAATAGTCTTCGTTTGTTCGAGTGACAGCGCGGTTGTCAATCATGCAATAATGACTTGTAAAAATTACTGCAGTAAAGTGTGAAAACAGGATATTGTATCATATTTTCACTAAACAAATAGGTATATTGTGTTATCATAATTGTCAGTTAAAAGTGTTATTTTGTACAGTTTTATAGTATTTAATTTATATATAACTGAATCATAAATATAAATTACAAAAGCACACGAAATAATGAAATAGCTAACTGTCCTTTTTCTACACATTGCGTGCGCAAAAGATGGAAAGAGACCCATTAGGTCAGTTTCAAGAAGTTTATATAAACTTCTTGGTCATGTTCAATTGTTCGAACCACAAGCGATTGAAATATTTAGAACAAAGAAACTGTAGAGTTGCTTTAATTTTAATCCTATTTTTAAATTGATTTTTTTTATTAAACCTTAGCAATAACTAACAAAATATTGTTGTACTCGTTTTACGGCATGGGATTACCTATAAGAAGTCAGAAAATACATTTGCCCGAAATAACATTAGCTCGAATTTTCATGTGTTTTTACGAAGATTACAAAACAAAAGCTAATTTTATCTATGTAAAAAGCATCAAAATAACTCGAAAGCGTAACGGTTTTGTTATAAATCAGAATTATGGATATTTGAGTTTACGTTTAGTTAGAATATCGGTACATTTCTTATAGTACACGCTTTTTTTCACGTTTGTAGTAATAATTGTATGTATGTATCTGCCCAACTCTTTATTATACCTTTAAGTGAATTTGTACAAAATTCGACATAATAATATATATAAAAAAATAATTAATATTTACAAGAAAGGCTATTATATATATATATATTCCATTACTCTTGTGTTCAAGTAATTTTCAGTCGAAGCTAAATATGGTGCATTTTGTTAACTTTCCAGTAGAAGCTGAATATGGTGTTTTTGGGCCCTTAAATTTTTGTAAGCAAATTTAGGCAGTACTGCAATGACGATACAATTTAAATTAAATGTTTTAGTTTTTTATATTTCGTTACATGTCACTATGTTTGTATAGGTTAACCTCGGACAATTTTTTCGTGGTTTTTGTATTATACCCGATGTTCATTTGTTGGTAGATAAATTAATACAACCAATTAAAATATAAAAAACGTGAAATACTTCTTATTGTGGGACTTCGTATTAATGTATTGCAATAATATAATAAATAAACGTTAAAACATTCCAAATGCAGCAGAGGTAGTAAACATTTGTTCTGCTTCTCTGGGTCTTTTACCGTGCAACATTCATATGAATAATTATTACAAATAAATTAGATACTAAATGTGTCATCATTTAATCAATTAAATAAATAACTGCAAAATACATATTTTGTAAATTATTAATAAAATTGAAATGCGTTTTTGTGAGAAAAAAAAGGAAATATTTTGGCAATTTATTTACTTTTCCGCGATATCGTGTTCGATAAAAAACCTCTTTGACGTTTATTTGTAATGGTAAAAAAACAAAGTATAGTGAATTTTGTGTACTATGAATTGAGTGCAATATACAATAATGTAATTCCAGGGCACTATCTGCAACACCCAGAAGCAATTTAGTAAAAAAAGTTTGTTATCCAAGCGGGTCCACACCAGGAATCGAATCTGGGATCATCATTAAGCGCCTGAAGTATTATCCACTGAGGTCGGAGGGCATTTAGTATTTTTTTCCCAAAACTCCCTAATTCTCGTCTGACGTGTTCATGGGGATTTACTATTCAACAGCCAATTGTTCAAGCCGGTTAATTAAATTCTTATCGTATGTTACATTACATAAGCCCTTCTAATCTGACCCTATAATTACTTGAAGCAGCAGACTTACTTGTCATTAGAAATACTACAGTCTATGAGAGCTTTGTCACTTGTGTTCACCACAATGAAGGGAAGATGAATGGCTGAGGAAGATGATGGTTTCACACCTCTGCTCTCTGCATCCTTATTCCTGTCTATTAAACTCTTGAATGAGATGTGCTGAAAAAGAAAGGATAGCTCTTAGACTTCCATTGAAAATGGAATATGGTATATGTATAATTCACTGAAATATTATTGTAACAATAACCTGCAATATTAGTTCATGTAACTGCTGTGTCTTTTTTTGTATCTGTTCAAGCCTAGTCTGTTTTTCTTTTTCTAAAGATGTGCATTCTTGTACTGAGTTAGTAGGTAATCCAAGCCATCTGATTTCTTTTTTCTCCTTTGAGATAATATTCATCGCCATTAACACGTTTAGTGCGTCATACACTCTCCGCCGAATGTTCTTTTGGTCATATTGCTGGAAGGTTTAATTAATCTGAATTAAAATTATACTGGAATCACTTTTCCAAAGTCTCAACAGAAACTCAAAGAATAATAGAGAATTCAACCTGTAATTATCTCAGAATTAACTAGTATGAATAAAAAAAAGCAACAATTATGAAAACATTAAAAAAATAATATAGTCTAAAAACATACTTGGCTGTCTGCAGATCCATGCATTCCAGTCGCAAATTCCAACACCAACTCATCAGCAACTTCATTGTAAGAAGTAAAACCTTTGTTTCTGACTTTTTCACACACTTTCATGGAGAAATGTCTCAAACCCTTGCCAACTTTATCTGCGTGTTTGCGTCTTTTTGTGGTGCTGAAGTTTAAAAAATTATAGAAGATTTGAAACCTATTCAGTAAACAAATTTCAGGAAAATAAGTATTTAAGTAACACTTTTAATTGTATCTTAACATAGATAATAAACCTATTCATCCTAGATTGATATACAGGTCATTCTTTGGTTAGTGTTATCTGCCTGATTTGTGTGGCAATTTTTATCATTCACTTTGAGTATATTATTGCAAAATATGAAATAATACTTCACAGTAATATTCAAGTACTAAAATATATATATGGATATTAACACTAACCCGATAATGACAAATACAGCAAAACATAGTTATCTTTGTTGTATCTTTTCATACTAATAGCCTTTTTGACCAAAATAATAAACATAATAAACAAACAATAAACATTTCCAATTAATAACTTCCATTGCACAATAATGAAATAAATTAGAGCATTTTGTTCATAACCTCTAATATATAATACTACTGGTAGTCAACTATACCATTAAAAGAAAAATTAGTAAGGATTAACACTTACTACTCAGGAGGAGTTTCATTATCAGAGTCATGTCTCCGTCGTGATGTATGGTGAGACATGGTTGGCGTGTTGCTGACCTTAGGAGGGGCAGTACTGGTACTTGTTACTGGCTGTGACTCTACTATTGTACTGATTGGAACTAGTTCTGGAACTGCTTCTATCACGTCAGGTCCCGACTCACTGACTATGACTTCAACGTCTTCTACCTGGAAAAAATTTCTTTCTACTTAATACAAATCTGTAGGCATCTGCTTCCCTAAAAGCTGCAATCCAGGTATATTCAAGGCTAGAGTGAAGATTAGGCAGTTTACAAGGAAAACGCGTGACATTGTTACTAAACCTCAGTTTAGATTGTAGCCAAGCATTCATCTAATTTATGTTAAGTCATATTTGTGCTCAAAATTTTTACACAAAATTTATACTTTTGAAGAATGCCACAAGATTTTTATTTACTCATAAATTGTTATATCACATTTAACATAGAACCAAAAAGCAATCTACATTGTTTAAGTAAACAATTAGCAGATACTCTCATTTCATTTCAATACTTTTTAAAGTCTACAAAGAATATGTTAAGTCAAGCAAAATTTCTTGCCAACTAGCTTTAGGAATAGAGAATATCTGCCATATTTGAATGTTTATTGAAAAACAATCTACCTACCTATTATACATATAAGTGAGAATTATTTATGTGGCAGTCATTTACTTATTAAAAAAGATTTTATTTATCATAAGATATTTAGTTTGCCATTCCAGTAAGTAATGTTTTTTGAAAAGTTTGGCAAGTCATCTTACCTCTTCTTCCTGAAGTTCAACTGGCTCTGGTTTCGGTGTAATTTGCTGAAGACGAGCTAATGTCTCAACAGGTACTTGTACCAATTCTGAAAATATGTGTTGTATTGTACAATTCATAGTAATTTGTTAAAACATATATAAATTTATTTGGCAGAGCTTTGTAGACTTACTTGATGAGCAGCTAAGGCCAGTCAATTTTAATGTTTGGATTATTGGAGTCTGTAAATAAAATGAACTTGCATAAACACAATAGAACTTACTAATTAACTAATTAGTCTTAAGCATACACATTTTTTGTTATTTTGAAACTGAATGTTGGCAAATAAAAGGTGTTCAAGCAATCAGTTCATTAGGAAATTTGGTTTAATTTACCTGAGTGCTACCTTCACCAGATGAAGGTAGTTTAATAACTTTAACAGGATTAGGCTTGATTTTTATGTGGCTAATGGGTTGGTTGCCAGTGTTTTTGACAACTTTCACCATTTGAGGTTGACCTAAAACATAAGACTGAAATAACTATAATTACTAATTAATTAGTAACTATATTCAATCATTGAAAGTACGAGTGTAAAGTTAAGCTATCCCTGATATAATGTTGTAGGTTAAGTCCTAAACATCTTTTCACACAAAGCAAACAGATGTTAGAATTGTATTACGGAAGGAAATGTAAACTGAAGAAATGAAACTGAACATTGCTTCTGATGTGACTCGGAAAATTGTATAAAAAAAATTGTACAGCCCCAATCACAACACGAACTAATGCCGGGATCCCCGGGAGGTCAGCGCTCGTTTCTGCGATTGACGCCGCATTTTTATATAATTTGCAAGTATACCTACACAACTTACGGTGTTATTGACATACATTTGTGAATGATAAAGCAACTAATAGTACCCATACAAGCAACAGTATGATCATATGCTGCCTACAAATAAACAAAAAGGGATAAAGCGCCTACCAGCGTCTCTACTAACCATTGGCGTCATGTATTAAGAAATTTAGCGTACTATTTTTCTGGGACATTTTCTCCAAATTCCTTGCAATCGTACATCCATTTACATTATTCAACAAGCAGAAATTATTAATTATTTGTCGACCAAACCAAACAAAACTATTTACTCAACTGTACGATGGTCAAAATGGCGACATTATTGGGATAAAGTATGAAGGATAAAAAATGCTAAAATAAAATCTTAATTCTTGCATTAATCACTAGACCCTTTGGGAGCCTTTAACACTGTTTTATTAAATAATATTCACATGAAAAATAACCAAACACTGAGCAAAATAGCGCGAGGACAAGCGGAAGGAGTCAGCAGGCGGGCGGGATCAAAACCAGCTGATTGGATGACGCTGGCTGGAATATCCGGAAAAGGCGCCAAACAAAACGTGACATCTAGCGGATACACGAGAAACTTATTAACGATGTCTCATAGACAATATTTTATATTTTTTTACTCAAAAGATACGGAACATGCGGCTACTGTTGCGCTTCGGTAATTTTCCGGAAAAAATCCTGAATATCGGATTATCTGGAAAAATATAAAACGAAGGCTCATATTATGTTCCACGTTTAGGTTATATATCTTTTGAAGTTTTATTTTAGCGTAATAATTATAAAATAAAATAGTCCTGAAAGCAAGTTAGCTTTACTCTAACTTACGAGGTACAGGGATATAAGGTGAAAACTATTTGCGACATTTTTATGTCCCGGGGTTTGTTTATGGTTAGCAATTGTATTGGAATGACAGCTGTAATAAAAAAATACAATTTTCAATGACATTTGTTAGTACTGTTGAGATATATTACGAAAAATGTCAAATAATGGACATTTTTCCGGAAAAATTCCCGAACAATTTTGGACAAATTTAAAATATAATTTAGAAGGCTCATACATATTGCGTTCTACGTTTAGAAACATCTTTTGAAGTTTTCTTAAACGTGAATTTATAAAATAAACTTGATAAATAAAAGCCACATTACGAGAAACGGTTCTATCGTTTTCGTTGAGTAACTTCAACTTTTGATAGGTGTCAATGTGGAAAGTATAGAAAAAGTAATGGAAAAATACATTGACTTTACAATTATATGGACGTCGGGTCCGCGCTAAAAAGTGTCCGAACTTGTAGGGCGTTAAAATCGTATACAGAGCGTCATTCACGCTTTAGTCTTTGTTTGTTCGACTGACAGCGAAGCAAGCAAAATTAGACAGTATTGCGATGACATTATAATTTAAATTCAACGTTTTAGCTTTTTCATATTCCTTTACATGTCACTACGTTTAAATAGGTTGACTTGGGACATTATTTTCGTGGTTTTTGTATTAGACCCGTCGTCCATTTATTTGTAAATCAATGGAAAAATATTTATTTTTCTGTAAAATATGATTTTTTTCAATATGCAAATTTTTCCATGACTCAACGCTAGTTACTAGCCATACAGCCTCAATTTATTCATTCGTTCACGGTTGTCAAGTGGTTGTCAACGAAACCGTCAAAGTCAAAGACCGGTGTTCATATGATGGAGATGAAGCCTTATCAAAAATAAAAAGTGAAGCGGGTTTACGTTTTTTATTTTGTGGCATAGAAATTATTGATTGGAAATGTTACGGAATACTAACTAATATTACTGAATCATCAATATTCTTAGGTGACCTCGTCTATTTTAAGTAAAATGTGGCTAAAACTATTCAGCTTTTGTTTTGTTGCGACTACAGTACTCTCAATAGATTTAAAGGATGTAGAATTACCTCCTGAGCACATTCCTTACTTTTTCAATGCTTTTCCAAAACTTGCTAAAGATTGTGAACAAAATCCCGAATGTCCCTATAAAGCAGTTGTAGGTAAAAAAGTTTGTTGGGGCTATGAACGTGATTGCAACGTATCAAATTCTTACCACGTGAGACCGCAATGCCCTGGAGACCACCGTGGGTGGGTGCAAACAAAAGATGCGCAGTACGATACCTTCTACACGCAAGCTGATTTTGGTAAGCTTCTTCGCTTCTTTTTAACATTGATGTCTTATTATCACTATTACACACTTTTGTTATGGGAAAGTGCAAAGATGAGTAAACAGTGCATGTAACGCACGCAATTATGTACATAGTTTTTTTGGACAGTTCACACAGATTCTTAAAGATTAAATTGGTTTTCCTGATTTTCTTTTCAGGATATGTAAAGGAGCAGATAGAAGATTCAATGGTCATGTGTGAGGCTTCATTTCAAGGTGACTCTTCTTTGGAGTGCTCTAAATATTTAAGGTACACACTATATATTATAATGAAATATTTTCAAAACATAAGTGAATGTAATATTTATATTTAAGGAGCTTTAGAACAAGGACTGGTCAATTTGATAAATTTCAATTCCATCTTCGTCTTTTTTGAAGACGGAATAAAATAACATTTGTAGTGTTGCTAGCTTTCATAAAATTGTAAATAGTTATGTAGATGTTGTCAATTGTTTTATTGATAAATTGTGAAAGAAGATAAAAATTTCTCAAAAATGATTAAATTATGAATGTTAAGACATTCTAATGATGACTAATTGCATTATTTCCTTCTTTATTCTTATTTTGACAGTTGACGTACTAGTATTGAGATCAATTATTGTTCATATACTTTTTAAGCAACATAATAAAAAGATTTTCATTTTAATATTGAATAAAAATGATTTTCATTTTAATATTGAATAAAAATGATTTTCATTTTAATATTGAATTAAAATGAATTTCATTTTAATATTGAATTAAAATGAAAAACATTAAAATATGTCTCCTTTGTATTTTTCATAAACATAGTTCTAAATACAGTGTATTTAAGTTACAAAAATTGACAGTTCAATTGAACTTGTGCTCAGTGATTGGATGAATAATTGGTCGAGGATGATTCAAATGAAACAAGTTTTCCTATTTATTTCATAAGCGTGACCAACATTCTGTTGATAGAATCTTTATCAACTGCAATCACTAGCTGCACTCAAGCGGGCAACACCTTTTAACAATGAACTGTCATTTTACTCCGTCTTCAAAAAAGACTGACTAGTCTCATTCTTGAATGGATTTTTCGCATTGTATCCTGATCTGTGCATTTGAAACATTTTTAAGGTGGTTGTAGCGGTTGGATAAATTATTTGTAAAAACTACTGTTTTTTAGCATTTATAAAAATAATAAGTCCAAATGTTACTTAGCAATTGTTGTTCTGATGCTCTTCATTTGTACATGTCGTCAAATTGTCAGCTAATATAATTGGTTAATTTTTGTTCTTTTTCATATGAAAATGTCATCCACATTACTGCCCACAACATGTAAAACATCAAAATAACATAATAATTTTATTCAAGTTTCAATTTACAAACTCTAATATGGTATATGTCCACAGACTGAAAAAATGGTAGTATATAATGATTGGGATTGTAAGCAAAATTTGTTGTTTATTTGCTGATTAATTTATTAATATTTATTTTCCAATCATACAATTTATATTTTTACAGTTTATTTTGAAGTTTTGTCGTAAAAACAATTCACAAATACAATTTAGGGCATTATTTTTTACAATTGCATGGGCACTTACAATCTTTATGTATTGATTATTATTTAACATATAATTGTCATTTTTGGCTGGGGTACCAGTTTACCGCACTAGTGGAACACAGCAAATTAAATAATAATTACAATCTAAAAAAGGTCATTATTTATCAATTTGTATGCTTATAATTTGCAGATTCTGCCGTGGAAGAAACATAATGTTGAACTTCACTGGTCTAGTGGGCAGAGGCGACAATTTAAGATACAAAACAGATATATTGGCCCGTGGACAAATAGGTAAGATGAACGTTACAGTGGTTAAGCTATATTTAAGCAATGAAAATTAATATTTTAATATAAGATCATATTTTTGTATATATTAAATATTAGAGAACACCACATATGTTGCTCTGATCTCAAAGTAACTAAAGCACTTGTGTTATGGAAATCGAAAACAACGACGGTACTACAAACACCCAGACGCGAGACAATATACAAAAGTCAGTTTTCTACATTGACCTGGCCGGGGATCAAACCTGGGAACTCAGAGATGGCGACACCATGAAAACCAGTGTGCAACCTTTGGAATATGAGGTCGTCATTTAGTTTGAGTGCATTTGTATTGCAGTGCGAGTGCAATTGTTACAGCAAAAGAGCAATAAGCCTTCATGTTACACCTTCTCTTGTTTTGTGTCTTATTTGTTTTAGTTTCTTTTTGCTGTACTACAAATTTTGTAGGACGATATCCATGACAAATCGTCATAGGGATGAGGTAAAGTCGATAGATTTTTGGTTTCATTGATTCTTGAAGCAAAGGTTATCACTTATACAGCCTTGTATAATATAATGGCTTAAAAAAAATTTAGTTTTAAAAAAATCCCATGAATTGTCTATAAATAATATTTATTTTATTTTTGATATCCGAACCGATTTTTCTATGTAGTAGGTACCAGAGAAGATATAAATGTAAAGTCAGTTTTTGTTTATAAGACTCATAATGTAGATTAAAAATATTAATATCATATCACTAATTACCTAATATATTGAACTCGTGTACATACTATGTATTTATTCATTAAAACATCGAAAATTTTTTATCGTTATACCTCATCTCTAGCAAATGCAGTCTAATGAAATAACCTTTGGATTCGCTCTGGGCCTTTTGGAGGGAAAAGTGTCGTTTTTATTTTGACTTTCAATTATTTTGTGAAATCTAGTTTAAAGTAGAGTAGGATAGTGCTATTGTGCCTTAATCGAAGATTAAAACGCGAAATTATACGAATCTCGAACTAAAATACCCGTATCGGCCCGTTGTAAGGAATCGCGAGTCAATCCAAACACGCCGCCTCAAATTGCCTATCCTCTTTGTGGCGGCCATATTTACAGAAACATAATTAAACGAAGACAGATAATTAAAAAAAAACCTTTGTACATCCAAGCCAAAAAATGTTTCTTTGCTCATTTCTCACTAATTTGGTATTACTTTTACTTTAATTTTATGTATTTGCGTAAACAAAATTTATTTACTTAAAAGCGAGACTTATAAAAATAGTTTATAAAATCCGTAAATTAGTGGACGTCGTTACACGGTTATATTATGTAGACTTTAGTGAAGTGTCACAGGGATTATCCCAGAAAATTTGTAGTATAGTGTACAATTAAGTTAATTGTAATTTATATTTCTATTGTATGAAAAACCGCATTAACGCTAACGGAGAATATTTTGAGAACCAATAAATTAATTTTTGATCATTTATAGTATTTTTTTCTTACAAAATCCGGAAACTAATAGGGCACCTCACGTACTTATTTGATTTATTTTTAATTCATGTAATAACGATACTTACGTTGTTACGCAGTTTGAAGCCACGCGAAGCTTCGCTGAGCTGTTAAATTACACTTAAGAAAGTGGAAATTTTCACGAGTTAAATCCATGGCGATGTAGACAACCAATTTCTAAAATGACGCCACAATTTAAAACCAAGACAGTCAGATGAAACGAACTGTATTCTACAGCCAAAGAGTTCCATTTTCAAATGTACTAACTGGAACACCCAGACTAGAAACAATTCAGAAAGTTTATTTCCCAAATTGGTCCTACCGGAAATCTAACTTGAGACCTCATCCTGCGGCCACATTACAAACCACGAAAATAAAAGAAATAAATTGAAATAAATCAAATCAAAATAAATTGACTGCCATAATACTTTTTTTTATTACAGGTGGTTACTGCAACTTTTACAAAGACAGGTTGCTAAAAGAATCAGAACATAGGAGCGCATTGCAGTCTTGGGCTCCAGAACTTATCAACTTTGTTCAAACTCCAGAGAAACCTATTGCAGCTGGAGTATGTGATGTTACCATTGACAAACCTACATATATTATGAAAATTGATGCTAGTAAGTGTGTTTTTTTTATCACACAGAATAACAGTAATGCGTTTCTAAGCTAGGTACTAGCATTCTCATGTAAATTTAGTCCAAAGTCAAAGATTATTTATTCCATAGGTAAAATATATTTACACTTGAAAACGTCACATTTAAGGTACTGCTCGTTAACTACGCTGACCTTTCTGAGAAGAACGAGCAAGAAACTCTAGGGATTGCTCTTTTCAAATAAACTTAAATGCAATGGAATACACTTTGAATCAAATTTGTATGGATTCTGGAGCCGTGTCGTCTTTCCATACATCTTTATCTAACACGTAGTCTTCAATTTTGTAATATGATTTTTCGATCAAAATATTTTTAATGTAGTTTTTAAACTTAGGAAATGATAAATTTAATATATGCTCCGGAATCTTATTGTAAAAACGTATACAGTTCCCCATAAAAGAGTTGTTTACTTTGGTTAAACGAAATCGTGGTACCATGAATTTGGACTTAGCTCTAAGGTTAATATTATTGATATCTTCTTTCTTATTGAAATTATATATTTTACGGGCATATAAAACATTTGAGTAAATGTACTGTGATGCCACAGTCATGATACCAGCCTCCTTAAACTTTTCTCTGAGAGAAACCCGAGAGCCTAGACGGTACACAGAACGAATCGCTCGTTTTTACAATACAAATATGGTTTGAATATCTGCCGCTTTACCCCACATGAGAATCCCGTAGGACATAATATTATGGAAGTAACTAAAGTAAACTAGTCTAGCAGTACTAACATCGGTAAGCTCACGTATTCTGCGGACTGCGTATGCAGCGGAGTATACTCTGTTGGCCACGGAAGATATATGTGGAAACCATTGAAGTTTACTATCTAAGGTCACTCCCAAGAAGACTGCTTTATTAACAAGGTCTAACTTTTCTCCGTTTATTTCTATGCTTGGACTAGTCGATTTTACGTTAGGTAATTCAAATTTAACATATTTTGTCTTCTTGGCATTAAGCAATAAATTATTAGCATTAAACCAATAAACTACCTCAGAAGGGGTATCATTAATATGGTCATGGTTAATGTCATGTCTGTCTGTTTTAAAAATCAAGGATGTGTTATCACCAAACAACACTATTTCGCAATGGTCCTTAACAAAGAATGGCAGATCATTAATATAAATCAGAAATAAGAAAGGTCCAAGTATTGAGCCCTGCGAAGCACCCACTTTTACCGGAGTCACTCCATAACCAAAGCTCCAAACCCAAAGAAGTCACTCCATTTATGTCTACTTTCTGAATTCTACCGTTGAGATATGACGCGACTAGTTTCGACGCCTTGCCATTTACACCGTAATGTTCCAGCTTCCTAATAAGAGTAATATGATCAACGCAATCAAATGCCTTTGAGAGTTCACAGAAAACACCAACAGCGTTCTGGAACCTTTCCCAAGCATCAAAGATGTGTTTTAGTAACGCTACCTCCGCATCGCTAGTCGATCTACCACTAGTAAACTCGTATTGTTTACTATGAAAAATATGATTCCTACCGAAATAGGACAGTAATTGAGTCAGCATAACCTTTTCGAATATTTTACTTAAACCTGGTAAAATTGGCCTAAAGTTGCTAGGACCAACTTTTCTACCGCTTTTGAATAAGGGAATAACCTTGCTGTATTTCATTAAATCGGGAAAAACACCTTCGTCAACGCACCTATTGAAAGCTACAGCTAAATGTGGGGAAATTAGATCAATAACTGAGTCTATAACTTTAGTTGGTATGCCCCAGAGATCTTCAGTTTTTTTAACATGTATTGATTTAAAAGCTTATATGTTGTCTTGTGGATTAACATGACGGAAATTAAATAAACTGCCACAAACGTTAACATTTTTCTTTAGAAGATTAATAGCAAGTGAAGGGGAGGAATTTAATGATTCTGTAGTGTTCACAGCAATTTCCGAAAAGAAAGATTCAAAAGCTTGGGCTACTTTATCTTTAGATTTTATAAGTTTGCTGTCTAATTCTAACACTATATCTCCATCGTGTTGTTTAACTCTGCCTGACTCTTTATTTATTATGCTCCAAGTAGTTTTAGATTTATTTATCGATTGTCTAATTTTGTCGCTGCGAAAGTTAACCTTAGCAGCTACACATACCTTTTTAAATATTTTTGAATAAATTCTAACATATTCTATAAAATTGGAATTAGTAATATAAGCTTTCATAGCATGTAGCTCATACAAACGAGACCTACTATTATGAATACCTACTGTTGCCCAGTCCTTGAATTTAGTCTCTCTGTGGAGAGTTAACGTTTTCGATTTAAATATATTATCAAATTCATTTTTAATTAAACCAAATATCGTGCTACATAAAGTATTTGGAACCTCCGGTATATGGGGTAGGGAATTTAAACTATTGCCGATATTATTTTGAAATCTAATAATTCGTTCTGTGGTAATCGGTCTGCAGAGAAATTGGTCTACCTTCTTGCTCATTGTACAATTAAAAGAAGCCAATTGGCCACTATGGTCTGATCTTAAGCAATTTATTATTGATTTAGACACTGCGTCTCTATTACAAAAGATGTTATCAATACAAGTCAAAGAGGAGGCAGTGATGCGAGTTGGTTCTAAGAAAAGATTAATCAAGTTAAAACTTTTAAATAAATTAATGAGTCTTACAGAAGTAGAACAGTTTTCCAACAGGTTTACATTGAAATCTCCACATATTACTACGTTTTTTTTGGTTGGAAAAATCCGCTTTAAACTGTCTTCCATAATTAATTCAAAGTCATTAAAATTAGCAGAGGGGGGCCTGTATACACATAAGACGACAAACTGATCCAATTCCACACATGAAATCTCAGTAGTTCGTTCAGTAGAAAGATTTGTTGAAATTTTAAGTTACGTTTAATAATAATCATGGATCCGCCTCTACTTAAGCTCTTTCTTATGAACGAACTGACTATTACATAATTTTCTATGTGGTTAATTGCTTCGTAGTCTTTCAACCAGTGTTCTGTAACAAACAACACAAAACACGTCAACGGAAATATCGTGCAAAAAAAGACTTATTTCTAATGTTTTGCCAGAAAAGTCTTGAATATTTTTATGTACTACATGGAAACGATTAGACTTTTCTGTTGTCGTGTTTTTCAGTTTAAATTATGGTTAGTAAAAAGTATACTGTTGCTACTTAAAGTAGGAGCATTGTCGTGGGACTGTGTTATATCTCCTATAACAGCGTCCTTAATATTAAAAGATAGTACACTAGCTATACGTTTTAGATATCTTATGGGTAAAAGTAAATTATCCTCAAAAAGTTTGAAGTTCCTTACGAACTTATTAATGTCGAAACAAATTATAACGTCACTATGACGACAAGTCAAGTTATGAATTTGCCAATTTATGTTATATATATACTTATTACGACCGATGCTTAGGTTAAAAATAAAAGAAAAAAAAGGTTAGAGCAGTAAGGGAATGCACTTAGTATGAATTTAGACCCACACTTCTCATGAAATCTCAAGAACACGTCAATGCTACTATTTAGGTACTTCTTTTTTTACTAATTTTATTACTATCACCTATTATAAGAATCACTGTTGTATATTTATCAAAGTTGCAACCACTTAACAGTGTAATAATTTGACTAAAAGTAGCTCCTGGATAGCAATAGTTGACTACCCTTTGTTTTAAGTGGTTACTTAGGTGGTGGCCTAGTCCTACGCCTATTTTATCAGAAAAAACTACCGTTCTTCTGGATGGCCTGGTAAGAGTTCTAATAGTCTTGGTTGACCGTTGACTGTGTCGAACTTCAACAGTTGTAGTGGAGCAGATGCGTTTTCCTGCAGCAACGCTGGCATACGGTGCACGTGCTGGTTGCGTTGATGATGTGGGTGGTGGGGATGGAGTCTGATTTATTTCTACTGGATCATTTGTTTCACTAAGCTCATCCTGAAGAAGGACTTGAGTAAGTTCTCTATACTCAGTACCCAGCTTTAAAAGCTCATTAGTTGCAGCTAAAAGTTCTTCTAGTTGTTTCTGCGTAGAAAGTAGGTCTTTAGTTCGCGATTGAAGATCTAACTCTAGATCTTTCACTTGTTCTTGTAGTAGAACAAACTACTACAAAAATGGTTTCTGACGATTGCTGTAACAAAAGTTTGAATAATATATTAATTACTCCTCTTTTGTTGCAGCTGTGAACATGTATCACCACTTCTGCGATTTCTTCAACCTGTATGCTTCACTCCACGTCAACTCAACACACCCCTCTACTTTCTCGAAAGACAACAACATTCTGATATGGGAAACTTTTACATACTATTCAGCATTCCAGGATGCTTTCAAAGCATTTACAAAAAATCCTATTTGGGACTTGAAAGAGTTTAGAGGAAAAGTTGTATGTTTTAAAAATGTTGTGTTTCCACTTTTACCAAGAATGATATTTGGACTTTATTATAATACTCCTTTAGTAAGTATTATACCGATTTTATAATGTGATAATTATTTACAAAATTAATATATTGATTTTATTGTACTTCATGATGGTTTACTATCTGATATTAAATTATTTTTGTGAAATTTGCACTATATAGGTCGTTATAATTGTTAAAACAAAGATCGACTAAGAAAAATTTCGTAGATCTGACAGGACACGAACCTGTGTCTGTATGCCAATCTAGGGCAACGCTCTATCAATTGTGGGCGTAGTGGGAGGAGAACCGAATTCGATTCGCGGTAGAACCAATGTAAGAAATGAACATTCTGATTTGGTTCCAGTTTGGGTAGTGCCCTGGAGTGAACTCCGTTGCTTTGGTAGTCATAGTACAGGGAATTCCCTAATTTGAGGCCAGGGAATAGATGAGGTTATCTGGTACATTATTATTTTTTATTGGACTCAAATAGGCTAATGATTCAATCATCAACTTCCTTAATACTCAAATGGACCCGAAGCTTCTATTTCCTACACTTGAACTTTCCTATGTAGTTAGTAGATAGGCGATTATTCCGTAAATATAAGAGATATAAAAAACCTTTAAATTGATATCGAAAGTACGCTACCTAATTAGTACAATGACAACCATAACTATTCAAATGCTCCCATGTATTTAATATAACATTCGTAGAAAATGCTTTCGACATCAGTTTAAAGATTTTTGGTATCTCTTTAATTTACGGAATAATCACCTAGACTTACATAACGATTACATCCTGTATGTGTGGTATGGTGCGATGTAATGGGTTGCTGCCTGCAACTCGACGTCTTGGCACCTATTTTGCGTGCGTGCTAGGTCCTACTCGTGCCACCTGAGCTCGTCCAAGAATATCAGCATCCTCCTGGGTTTACTATGCCTATAATAATATGTATTTGGGTCTCCTAGGTCACTTCTGGTGATTTCAATTTCTATGTTTTGCTAAATCAATACCATTGCGTCGTAAATAATGAAAACAAACAATTCGTTTCTTCTACTGTCAACCTAAACATTAAGGTTGAAAAGTAATAAAACAATTTTTACATGATTTTTACCCAAACTTGTATTGTCATTTCATATAAGTCACAGTACAAACACATGATCTGATGGCCAGGTTCCAACAAAAAGAATGAAATATTCTTTATTGAACATTAAAAATTACAATGACCAAACAGAACAGTAATGTAAGTATCACAGAGTAAGACAACAGGCGGCCTTATTGCTAAGTAGCAATTTCTTACAGGCAACCTTAGTATAGAAATTTAACAGTTGGAATGGGAGGTGCAACCAAAGAATATCTTGCAATGAAAGTGCACTACTCATCAATAAAGTAAATAAATAAACTATAATATCAAATACCATACATTATTAGAAGAAATATACAAATAATAATAATATTATACTCGTATAATAAGATGCTTAAATACTTTTGTAGGAATGTAAAATAAATGTCTGTAATAATAAGATAAATATACAAAGGAGATTATAACACTATGTAATGTAAGTGTAAAATAAAGTGAAAGTAGCTTGTGAGCCTTTTCTTTGATTCTTTTATTAAGTAGTAAGAGCAATTATTTTCATTTCAGATTTATGGATGCGACAGGAGCGGATTATTCCACGCATTTTCAAAACATATTCTACACGGGTTAAACGTAAAACCTCAGCTGCGAACCAACGATAAAATACGGGTTACTTTGCTTTCAAGAGGCACTACATTTAGAGCTATAACGAACGAAAATGAGATCGTGGAAGCGCTGTTGAAGGAGAAGAGTTATCACTTTCAAAGAGTAGTATATGACAAAAATATTCCTTTCATCAAGCAGTTGGAGATAACGCATAATACGGACGTTTTTATAGGCATGCACGGCGCTGGACTTTCTCATCTACTGTTCCTACCCGATTGGGCAGCAGTTTTTGAAGTGTAAGTTACATATAGTACAGTATTAAAATATTTGAATTGTATTTGCCTGCCGTACACGCGTGACACATAATAATTTTAATTGAAATAAGATAAATTGAAAATAATTATTTATCTTTTTAGATATAACTGCAAAGATCCGAATTGTTATTTCGACTTGGCGAGACTGAGAGGAGTGAAATACGTTACTTGGGAAAATAAAGATAAGATGATCCAACATGATCACAAGGTAATTATAACTTATAATTATACACAAAGTTTATAGTAAATTTAACACATATTTTACAAATGACATCAGAAATTTTCCTTCTAAACCGTACATAATATAGTAATTAAAATAAAACAACGCGCACACTCATAGTCCCGCACTAAGGAAAGCCTCTATCGCGTGTGCCATAGACACACGCATAGACAACCACATACTACACCCAAACTCACGAGAGAAATAAATGAATATTGTATTTCTCTCATCCCGGGATTCGAACCCGGGACCGTGACAGTGGCAGACCAGCATGTTCCATGGAGGCGGTTATATTAAAAGTAATAGTGCCAAACAACCGCACGGATTACCTGGTCTCAAACGGAAATTCACTACCATGAGCACCAGAGCAACGAAATGAACTCCGAGGACTACCCAGAACACCCAGGCCAGGACCAGTTTAGAAATTTAGTTTTCCATATTGTTCCTATCAGGAGTCGAAACAGATACCTCCTCTTTAGCGCCCTCGTTGTTAATCTCTGGGCCACAGAGGTCATCAAAAACGGAATATTTCCAAATTTCAGTTTTAACTAAACTATCATATATTTTAGTTAAAACTAAAAGTTTGTATCTAGTATTAATGTTCTTTTACATGTAATAAATTAATTTTAAGCATGTCTTACAAATTTTAAATGTAATTTTTATGAAGTTTGACAATTGTCAGCAGTGGATGTATGAAGGTGGAACCTGAAAAGCAGCATGTAGTGCTGAGATTCCATCCTTTTTATTGGCACTAGAGTCCACATTTCTGAAATTGGTAACTGTTAACCTTTTTATTGTAAATGTGCTTATGAATAAATGTCTTATTATTATATATTGAATGTCATACTTTTATTAAATTAAAAAAAAAAATTAAATTTTTTTTGTGAAAATACTCCCGTAGTTTTGTGTTCCAACAAACAAAGAAAAATTCAAATCCAACCGGATCGAAGGAATTTGTGTCGGTTCGAACGTTTATTATTGATACAAAATAAAGAGTGTATTGTTAGGTTATCACAGGTCGTTGCGCTGAAATACGGAAGATTGTATTAGTTTGTATTTCAGAACCCCAATATCGACACCTGAAAGAAAACCATAATAAAGACAAACCGTCTTCATAAAGTGTTCCTATTTAACCATTTATTTTGTACTTAGGGCTTGGGTCCAGATCCCGAAAAGGCACACGCGAAGTTCACTAACTACTCTTTTGACGTTAAGGAGTTTGTACGACTAGTGGCAAAGTGCGCAAAGCACGTACGTAACCGACGAGACTTCAGGAACTTCATAGACGCCGCCAACTTGAAAGGCCAACATATTGAACTGTAAACTTATATTGAGGTATTTATTAATAAGGGCTGCTTTATTATTACACATACATAATCATGACTTAATAATCGATTTTAAAAAATTGTAACCTCGTAGTATCGTAACTCAGTATTCACAAACAGTATACAGGCCGTCTCACGGCTATGCCACAAGGAGTGAAAGTTCCTTCAATACCGTAGTATTTAATATAGAGAATTTTCTTGAAAGAAAACTTCATTTCGGTTTTAAAAACAATTCAAACAGCATTCAAAGATTTTTAAATAATCGCCTGTCTTAACCGGGAATCGAACCCGGTAATGTGAAACAAAAAACACATGTAATTTTACTATACTGATCGAAAGCCTCAATCATAAGGACAGTTTTCTTTTAAACATAGCATTTGAAATAAATTTAACATTTAATTTGAAATTTTGTTCAGCCTTTTCTCCGACTTTGCCGCGCTTACAACAACCGACATTATCATTTCAAAGTATTACTAATGAGCACAAACTTGCGAAATACGTAATTATGTATCGAAATTATCAAAAGAGTGAGAATTTGTATGCTATTACAATAGGGCACATTTTGAGCGTTTGATAATTTAAATTGATGTAAGTTGCATCTAAATGTACCTAATAATTTTATCAAATGTTAAATTTCGTGGTCTTCCTCTTGTTTAAGATGCTATGTTATTTAGAAGAAAACTATCCTTGATTGAGGCGTACGATCAGTATAATAAAATTACAGGTTTTTTTTTTCACATTTAGCGGGTTCGATTCCCGGTTCAGATAGGCGATTATTTAAAAATTTTTCAATGCAGTTCGAATTGTTTTTAAAATCAAAATTAAGTCTTCTTTCAGTAAAATTTTCTATCTATCGTATTTGAGGTAGGTACTTTCCCTCCGTGTGGAATAGCCGTGTGACGCCCTGTTTGTTAGGTACATCGCAGTATTAGTGTGCAATGATAATAGACATTCCTTTTTATTTAAGTAATATTAGTGTTTTCTAGAGGTGGTCATAATTACAACAGCAGATTATGTAATGCATTATTCTTACGCAATGTATAACTCATTATCGATCAACTGTTTAAACTGCTCTTGTTATATTGCTATTCTGCTGTTACGATTGAGTCGCGCGAACAAGCAAGTATGCAATAGCCAATAAGGCAGTGAGATAGAATTGGCACTAATTAAGTGATTGGACGATGCTACGATTTGTAAATTTTACGATCTTTCAGTGCACAACATAAAGTTCTCTTTCTCATTTTATATTTTATTGTTATCTACTATGTTACTATTATAAGTCACATATCAATGCCTTACTTTCTCAAACGCGTGATTATTCAGGAGATGGCAAAACTTTGTATTTATTTCAAATTTCTTATCAAGGGTGACAATTTGGATACATTACTTTAAGAATAGGTAAAGCCATTGTGTGAATATGAAGGAAATGTGATGTGAAATCAGCCTGCAAAATTTGTATACACAATCTTTTTTTTTTTTTTGCATTTGTGCTTTAAGATACAAGTTTGAGAAAGTAAGGCCACGATATTTGAAACTACGATTTTGTGCTTTATGCAATAGGAATAATGTCGATGTTAATATCAATTAATTTAAATGCTACTGGTGGCGAAACCAGCCAATACGTTTTGGTTTAGGTACTGTTTAATGGCTACAATAGCTTTATAACGTAGCAGTGGGTCTTCTCTCGTTCTCCGTCTGACATCCGTCCGAGACAATTACTGTCAAATAAGTAATACTCGACCAAGTAAGAGAGGATGTCAAGTATGAAGCTTCATTCGCATCGTGCTTCTTTTAATTTAGCCGAGTATTACTTATTTGACAGTATTTGTTTCGGACGGATGTCGCACGGAGAACGAGAGTACAGAGTCTGATTTCATTTCGTTACGGGAATCCCGTATAGCTAACCATAAACCGTGATTAAGTCGCAAATAACAGGTTACACAACAGTGTTGCCGTAGTGTTGCCAGGGCCCTTGAATCGAAATAGTTACATTTTTGTCTGCATAATTAACATTTTACATGTTCGTTTTTTTAATAAAAAATTGTAACTGTGAAATATAATATATACGCCTAAATCCTAAAAATAAATAAAGTAAGTACGTTCAAGAAAAATCAAGCTATAACCAGTAATTGATTGATTTCATCTTGTTTGCACTATATATAAGTTACGTTTTTGTCTAATTTGGGTGCGCTCGTTTTAACAAATATTGTTAGATTGCCTCAAAAGTTACGAAAGTTGCCTTAAAAACAAAAATTACTTACCTATTACGCAAAAAGATCAAATGTTACGAAAAATGTAAGAAATGTAATCATCTGGCAACACTACACATTATGCAAAACTACAAACAGCAGAATAACAGGTTTTCTGACAACAGTTTACAATAACAGTTGTTACAAACAACAGCATTACAGTGCAATTAGTTAATGACAAACAGCCATTTTTGCCATGTCTAGTGTTTTCCTATACGTGTATCCTAGCTCTTTTTATGGTGTTGACGGGGTTGAAGCGTGAAACTCAACAGTTATGTAAGTTCTCGTGTATATTTGTTTTTACGAACAAACCGATATTTCGGGCTCTTTAGTACAGGCCACTGGCTGTCAGTCAGCCGTGGACATGGGACCTGTAAAAAGCCCGAAACTTTGGTTTGTTTGAAAAAACAAACACACGCGACTTAGATCAGAGAAAATGGTTTCATTTTCAATGTACAGCTACCGCGAAAACCTGGTACTCGAATAATACCTACTTACAACATTTATGTAAAATAATTCTTAACATAATGTACTCAAATAATAATAAGCTGCTATTTTTAATTCATGCATTTAAAAATTGTAATAAGTACTTAATTCTCTTCAAAATCAGTTTATAGCTTTTTATTTTATTGCTTAATGTAGGTTTTATAGAAACACAGTGACTAATATTTTTATATTTTTTACGTTCTAGTCTATTGTTATGTATTTTTGTACGATTTTTTTACTGGAAGAACCTTTTTCTACCTACTCGAATAAATATTAGTTTTATTTTTCTACTCGACAAGATATGCGCTAAGTGCTCAACAATCACGCGAATAATTCTCGCAAACACGCCGATGAATGTTGTTGATGTAATCTCGTTTATTTATTATTTCGCGAATGCACCGCTAGTTTAATTGTAACAGCGCCGTCGAATGTAAGTTCCATAATTACAGTTCGCGATATTCAGATAAATTGTTGAAAAGATTGGACGAATACGCTTCATGTCCAGTTGAATTATTGACATGTACTGTTACGGTTAATCCGCGCAATCTTTGTTATTGGCACGAGGAAAATGTTAAATCCGCACAACATGTGATTATTGTCACATAATTTTAACTTGTCCGAAACTCTGAACTGCGTAAGTGGGTATAACGATGTAGAGATGTAAGGCGGACATTAATTTTAAGCTATAAAATTTGTGATATGTACTTTTCCGCATTCCAGTTTATTGTTTTAAATTTCGATTAATCTTTTGGAACTCTAAACGAGAAAAACATAATGGGGTTTGCGTTTTGTGATAATTTGTATTGTTAATTTTAGCCTTAAGTGTAAATGTTTTTTGGAATAAATGGTATACCAAGTTTTTGTATCTATTTAATAGGATTAAATATTACAGAAAACGATAAATCAAAAGTATTTTAGACTCACGTGATAATGTTTATTGGCAATCATTTTGACGCCTTTTTGACATTTTTATTGAGTTACAAGAAGTTCGTTCCACGTTCGAAGAACTTAAAACGGAACTCTAAAATGAAAAAAAAGGACGGGTGGAGAAAGAATCGTAAAACAATCGCATAATACGGACGCAATATTTACAGAGGGAAATTAATGAGTAATGGGCGAGTGCCGAGCGGGGACTGGGGAACGGCCCGCGGGTTCGCGGTCGTAACTTTTTGGCGCAAGCAGATCGTATCGCGCTGCAAAATCAAACAGCTAATTGAAATAATAATTTAAAAATTAAACTTAACAGTATTTTCGTGACATATCTCACTGTGTTAACCTGTTTGTGTTATGTGTATTATTATTCATTACAATGTACGTTATTTAGCCATGCGATCAGATTGCGTTGATCAGAGTTGCGGTTTTTGTACACTCTTCGTTAAATTAATATATTTGGTAGAAAGAGAGTTAAAGACGCTACTAATAAATAATACCTTTAGTAATTTTTCTAAGTGTAATACTATTTAAGTAGGAATGTTTTTTTTTTCATTTATTGTTTGGAACCATAAAATAAATAATTTCTTTTTTATTACTTTTTTATTTCCATTTTACCAGAAAATTATATAATTTCTTGGTAATTTATTCGAGCGTCATGGTATGGTAGTCCATTTTTAAAATTTTATAACGTGACGTAAAAAGTCGTTATTTAGTCGGTTCTAGTTGCAAAAAACTTGATTTAGTCGGTCCGCTGTTTCAATGTACAAGAGTGTTTTACTTTTCCTCGCTGGTGTAGGTAAGCTTATTTCAGCGGCACCAATCTTCAATCTCGAGAACCTCAGCACCTAGCTTAGATGTGATTACACTAAAATGTCGTGATTTTGTTGTATCTGGTCGTAAAAAAAACTGATTTGGTAGTTACGCTGTTTTGAAATTGTAACGATGTTTTACTGTCCACGCTAAAGTAAGCTTATACCGGTGGCATCATTTCTGAATTTCGAGAACCACAGTTCCTAGCTTAGATCCGATTACACCCAGATAAATCGTGAATTAGTCTGTTTTAGTCGCAAAATTTAGTAACTATATAATTATAATCTATCTATTTATTGAGTATGTAGCATTCATTTTTTTTTTCAGTTTTTGAAACATTAGTTGGAAGAAATTCCTTTATGGGATACGCTCACCTTTGTACGCTAATATTTTAAATTGTTTCTTAAAATGTCTAATTTACTTTGTGGTACAATGAAGTGTTTATATACATACCTATATAAATACAATCTACCTAAAGGTACCTATATAAAGGAGCGACAAATTCAAAATATTGTCCCTTGCAACTTGGAAAACATATGGCGATGTGACAATTGTAAAAAACGGAGGCACTGTATACGTGCATTTAGTGTAGGCAGAGGACGAATGCTCTAGCGGTAGACTAAGCTTTAGGCTGCGCGGCAGTGGGCTGGCGCGGCCGGTGGCGGCGAGCGCGGGTGGTCGCCGATGCGACGACGCTGATTCATGTCGCAGATAGAGATCGCCAGCGCAGGCGCCGGCGCCCATTGCCATTTTCTATATTTATCACCCTAGCTACCATCAGTATCACTT